GCGCCCCCCCCACACGGGCTCGCGGGGGAGAGGCTGAGAGCACAAAAACACACACACACACACACACACACACACACACACACACACACACACAAATATACTACCATACCAGCAGCAGGAGCTCACAACACTCACACACACAATCACACAGACTAGGCAACTCACACACAACCCCAAGACACTCCGATGAGCTCCCACAGCCCCCAGCTTGGATGCACAGAGAACACATGGGGACATACAACTCATGCATTACACACACCCCAGAGTCAACACCCGCACAGAGGAAAATACAAGTCCACACCACCCATTCGCTGGCCTTGGAATGACACCTTCGTGTCCATCTCAGATCCCAACCACATTCACACATCCTTCTTGGTGACCCCAGCACCCACGCAGGACATCCTGCTACGCGCATGCACATAGCTTCAAATGCGTACTTAGAATGCATATATACTTAGGAACTCTGACAAAGTCCTCAGCTCCCAACTCCAAGCCAGCTCAGACTCTCAGAAATGCAGGCCAGGACTCACCATCTCCCAGAGAAGGCCTGGGTGCTTCTGCCAGGTAGATGAGCAAGCAAGACCCTGGCCCCAGACAGTCGGCTCTCGGCTCTGCCGCCAGTTGCTCTGGCTGGTCCCTCCTCCTTCCTCCTCCCTGCTGGACTGCGGGGGCCAGCTTGATTTCATTAAGAGGGCTTGGGGTGGGGACAGAGAGGGGCGGGGCTGCGCAGGGCCACACGCAGTCCCACCCTCCTCTCACTCCAAGCTTGCTTCCTCTCTGACCGCAGGTCCCCAGGGCTGGCTCAGACAGACAGACAGACAAACAAGAGTCCAGGAGCAGAGAGCTTCCCCAGAACTGCAGACTGGGGTCCTGCCCATCCCCCACACCCCTAAGGGACGAGGTTAGGAGGCTTGGAGGCCCCTCGAAGTGAGAAGGAAAATTCCCCCTTGCTGGTTCCAGCTGTGACTCAGGTTTTCCAGGCTCAGGGTGCAGAGTGGGAGCCCACAGTGTTTCTGGGAGGCTGAGTTCAGGCACCTCTCATCAAGCCTCAGTTTTCCCATTCTTAGAGATGAGGGAGCTCCTTGTGGCACTGGCATCCTGCACTCTGAGGCCTCACAAGGCCCCAGTGAGGTAGCTTAAGCAGGAGTTATAGGCCCATTTCCAGAGGCAGAAAGTGAGGCTGGTGAATTCAAACAGTGCAACTAAGGTCCTGAGGTCAGTTGCTCTCTGGCCCTGGAAGCAGGATGTCTAGCTGACTCGGAGAATCCAGTGATTCCATGAGGCCTTGCATTCATTCATTCATTCATCCACGCACTTGTTCATTTCTGCAAACACCCAATACATCCCCATGCACAACAAGGTGCTGAGCCAAGCAGGTCCCAGAAGAGAAGAAAAGCAGATGTAGTCCTGCCTCCAAGAGCTCACAGGCTTCCAGAGCGGCAGGAGACTCACAGCAGGAACAGGGAGCTTTGCTCTCCTGCAAATGGAAGGAGCTCCACTCTTCTCCTCCTCTTCTTCCCCCTCCTCTTCCTCCTCCTTTTCCTCCCCCTCCTCCTCCACCTCTTCTTCCTCCCCTAATTCCTCTTCTTCCTCTTCCTTCTTCTTTGACAGTCTTATATAACCCAGGCTGGCCTCAAACTTGATATATAGCTGAGGATGCCTTGAACTTCCGACCCTCTTCCTCCACCTTCCAAGTGCTGGGATTTCAGGCATGCACCACCAGTGGTGCCTGGTTTATGTGGCCCTGCAGAAAGTACCCAGCACTCCATGCATGCTGGACCAACTGGCTCCCTCTGGGTGATGAGTCCTGCTGTGAGGTAGGTGCTGCTCCACTCTGCTGTGTCCAGAGTGATAAGAAAACATCTACACATGCACCCCCTGCCACCCGCTCCCTACAGACCTGGAAGACACCAGTCCTGTAAAGCCTGGTGCCACGGTGCCCAAACACAGTTCTGTTGGGGTTTGAGGAGAGGTAAGTGAATGTGTGAAGCTCTACAACAGAGGAGGAAACAAAGGTTCTTGGTGGAGTAACCTGCCCGGGATCCACCTGTGGACAGACAGCAAGTGCAACTCATGATCAGAGACAAAAGGAGCCTCACCAATGGCAGCCCTTCCCAGGACTGCAGCCAAATGTGGGTTTGAGCAAGATGCTGCTCACCAACTGCCAGCCCTCAGGCTCCAACTCAGAAACACTCTGAATTTCATTCATTCTACAAACATTTCCTGAGTCCTGGCTTTACATCCAGCTCACAGGCCTCAGGAGACAGGCCCCCAGCTTACAAACGAGGTAGGAAACCTAACAATAAGCAGGTAAACAAACAAATGGATCTCTAATTGTACACTGGGAGAGCTGGGAGGAGCAGCTTAGAACCATAAAAGCACTCATCACAAGGCTTAGACCTGTCTGGGCATCATAGGCACCTCAATGAGAAAGTGACCACAGAGTTTCCTGGAAAATGAGCAGAAAGGTATTTAGGAAGGCACTGACGCAGGAGAGTTCCCAGCAACTGAACATGTGCAAAGGTCCTGAGGTAGATAGGGTGGCTTCTAAATATCATCATGCAAAAGTGACTGAGCCAGACCTATAGGGACAAAAAAACTCCATTTGCTTTGTGCCCTGTCCTAAGTCCAGCATCTAGGAAACGACTGGAACACAGGCAGGGCTCAACAAATGCCCTTGACGGCATGAATGACCTGTGCTGTTTAGTCCTGCACTTCTCAGGTATGGTCAGCCAACACTGTGAGTTCACTGCAGCTGAACTGAACCCTTCCCGTGTCTCATATACCACATCCCACAGTTTCTGGGACACTTGTGGAATCCCACTGTGGCATCCATGGGGCGTGGGCAGACCTGTGGCGTGGAGCAGACTGGGATGTTCACTTGCAACCCATAATTTCAGAGGCCCAGCAGTGCCAGGCTCTCTGCCCAGCCTGGAATCACTTCAGAGACCCTGCCCTGAACCCCCTGCAATTAGCAGTCACAGCCTCTGTGCTCAGCAGCTCTGGCCCAGTAGGCAGGGAGAGACTGGGAAGGTTGGGAAATGACCCCAGCCTGGGTCTTTGCCCACCACAGCCCCCAACTCCAGTCCCTCTTGGGTGCAGGGCTGCTTCTAATTACAAAACCCTGAGCACTGGGGCCTGCCTTCCAGTCAAAAATAGCTGGACTTTTCATGTGGCTGGAGAGGCCTGGGCTACAGCCCCATCACAGTCCAGGCCCAGCCTACAGACGGCTACTGGTAGAGCAGCCTCCTGCCTCCCAAGAGCCAGAGCAACCATATTCAACCAGGCCAGAGCTCTCAGTGTTGTGAAGCACCCTGGGCTTCAGTTTCCTCGTCGTCAAACATGCCACCTTCTCTTACTGCTCATCTGTTTTATCAAACACCTACACATGCCTGGAGCGGTATTGGACACAGCTTGCACCAATCATGGCCAGCCCTGAACACCCACATCTTGTAGCTAAGTCATCACCATCTCCAGGAAGCCCTCCTGGAGCCCAGCCCTTAGGGATGAGCATGGGCATCCTCCTTGCTCTCACAGCCCCAGGCACATGGCTTGATACCCCTGAGCAGGCTGGGCTGCTGTGGACTCTCTGGGCCAGAATGAGGGCCCTGTCTACCACAGTATCCCTGCCACCCATGCCTAGAGTAAGGTGCCCAATTAATCCCTTCTCACTGGCTGACAGGCTCCAGGGAAGCTGCTTGTGTTATGGTTGGGGACACTGAGTCCCACCAAGGGAGAAGGACAGGATTGATTGGGATATGCTGACATTACTGTGTTTTTTGGTAAGCTCATTTAAGCAGTACTTCCTGACTCCTTGCTCTATGCCAGTTCTACCCTGGGCACAGAGGGGTGGCAACGCAATGCCAGGTCCTGCCTCAGGGAGTTCCTGAGAAGGGAGACAGGTGAAGAATGGGTGAACCAGCAAGAAGAGAAGATTGCCCAACCCCGAGCTTCTGTCAAGAAAATAAAAAAGAGCAGCTTGGATAAGGTAGAGGAGGCAGGAGTGCCTGGTGGTGATTTTTAGTGTTGTGGACAGGGAAAGCCTCTCTGTAAAGGGTCTGAACCAACAGCTACAGGATACAGGAAACCAAAGGCACAAAAGAAGCAAGAGGAGCTTCCAGTGTGGGGGAGCAGGTGCGAGGGCCTGAGACCAGGAACGGCTGGCCATGGGGACACCTCTAGGGAAGTAAGACTGGGCAGTGGCCTGTCCTCCAAGGGAACAGTCAGAGCTTGGAAGTTGGGACCTCAATATTACAGACAGGCTCTAACTCAGTTTCTCTCCTTGGAATAGGACCCCTTGCCCCTTTGACATTCTATGATCAGTGTATGGTCCACCCTTTGCTGGTGGGAGAGAAAAGTGGCAGAGTGCTTTGGATAGGGGTCAAGCGGTGTTTAGAGACACCTGCCTTTGAGCCAGAGAGAGAGAGAGAGAGAGAGAGAGAGAGAGAGAGAGAGGCCATCCACACAAAGACTAGTGTTGTGGCAGTTTCCTCCACAAACTGGAAACAGCCCTGGGACCTCTGGCAGAAAGTTTGCACCTGTGTGACCTTTATTAAGCTATTTTTCTCCCCACTGTGACCAGATACCTGACAGGTGCAATTTAAGAGGGGAAATTTTGTTTTGCGTCATGATTTCAGAAACTTTAGTCCACAGTCACTAGGCTCCCAGAACTCAGGGAGATGGGATGAAGCTTGTAGCAGAAACAAGCTGTTCACTTCACAGGAAGCTGAGAAAAGGGGGATACAGGAAAGGTCAAGATATAACCCCAAAGACACCCTGTAGTGACTCACTATCCCCCAAAGTCAAAATTCCCATCTGTCAGCGCCTCTCAGTGCTTTCAAGGGTATAAACCATAGACGTTCAGAGCCCTCACTATCTAAATGGCCCTGGAACCACCTTACAGATACTTCAGGGGATGAGCTTCACCTGCCTCCTAGACATTTGTCAGCCTAGTCAAGGTGACCATCAAGCCTGACTAGGAAAGACTGGGGACATAGGCACTGTCCTAGCTCACTTTCTGTTGCTGTGACAAACACCAAGACCAAAAGCATTGGAGAGACAGAGTTCATTTCATTTTACAGGACACAGACCATCCCTGAGGGAAGTCAGGGCAGCACTCAAGCAGAAACTTGAAGCAGAAACCATGGAGGAATGCTGCCTACTGGTTTGCTCAGGCTCAGGCTTAGCTAGCCTTCTTATACAGCCCAGGACTACCTGCCCAGGGAATGGTGCCGCCCACAGTGGGCTGAGCCTGGCTGTATCAATTGACAATAAAGATAATCCCCCCACAGATTAATCTGATAGAGTGATCTTCCCAAGTAATTCTAGGCTGTATCAAGCTGGCAGTTAAAGCTAACTAGTACAGTAACTCAGTTGGTAGAGTGCTTGCCTAGCATGCATGAGGCCCTGAGTTCTATCCCCAGCAACTTGGAAACAGGTTGTGGTGGCTTGTGTCTGTATCATAGCACTTGGGAAGTGGAGGCAAAAGGATCGGAAGTTCAAGGTCATCCTTGGGTACATAGTGAAGTCAAGGTCAGCCTGAGCTGGCCAACCCCCCCCCACCGCCAACAGAAAAGATTGGCCCTCACGTGGTGCATGCCTATGGTGGCCCACAAGTGAATGGTGAGAACAGAGACTGACTCCCCACTCACACAGAGCAAAGGAACACAGTTTGCATGA